AGTGGCATTTTTGCAAATGAACACTTCTAAATGGTATTTTGGCAAATGTACACACCAAAAGTGGCATTTTTACAATTGTCTCTTATAATTTTATTTTAAAATAATAAAATTAATAAAATAATGATCAATATGAATTTAAATAATTAAAAGTTAATCTCATTTTTTATGTAATATAAAAATAAATTTATTATATAATTTTATTTTTAACTTTTTAAAAAATATTTAGAAGTCAATGTTTTGGAAAAACTATATTTGAGAGCATTGAAGGTGGAGTATTTTGAGACCATTTACAATTACTAAATATTTTATTTAATATTTTATCAACTAATCAAGTTTTAATGATAAAAAATATAATGTTATTTTAAATGCCCTTTGCCAATGAAGCCATTACTAACCAAAAAAAAAATCAATCAGATGTTTATGCCCTAAGTAACCTAAGGAAAAGAGAGGAGCTGGATACTGCCTTATTGGTGCACAAAATACAAACAATTGAAAACCCCTCAAACGAAATTAGTTGTTGGGTCCAATGATAATGCGCTCAGTAGCAGCTCAAGCTACTTGTGATTTGTGAACAAGATGAACCCATCACGGAGGCTTTGTCTCTCACATGTTCCCCTAACATAATTATAGGTAGTAAATAAAGGTAAATTTAAGAGATTTTTAATATTATAAAATTGTTATATTTATCTAAACTATTTTTGGGTTTTTAAATTTAGAATGCATATTATCCATATTTAGTAGGTAAACTCTTTCCTCTTTCTCTCTCTATTCATCAATTTCAATACAATTAATATTATAAAATTTATATATTACTTCAATCATATTTACTACCTATAATCTTGCTTTAGCACTCTCCTCTTCTTTTACTTTATTTTTAATAAAAGCATGAATCATGATGGTTGACGAGCATATATAATACGTCCAAACATTGGTGTTTAATCGTAACAGGCGAGGAAGATGCAAAACAAGAGAAATTGCCTAATAAAGCGCAAGTTCCCAATAACGTTATGGAGAAAGTGGCAAGGTATTGTATTTGTTTCTTTTTTTTGTCTAACACTTTAATTACAAACTATTAAATTTTATAGACTTTAAATTGGCAATGAATAGATTATTTACATCCCATCCAAATTAACTTTTGATGTAGAGTTCCTAACATGTTCTTTTTCCATCTTAATTTAAACATATTTTGTGTTAGAAATTATTAAAAGAAAAGTGTTATTTTGAATTGGAATTATATAGTGTTCGAATCCTTCGGTTGTGCATGGCAAAAAATGGCCAGCTCTTTCACTATCTCATTTTAGGACATAGTCTTTGTTGTGTGATGTATCACGTACGTTCACTGTTGGATCAAACTTCAATTGTTTGCAGTCCAAGACATCCATCAACTAGTCGGTTATAGATATGATAGACAAAAAGGAAATTATACATTGTTCTTAGAATAGGAAAATAGTAATTTTCCATTATCAAATAGGAATAGCAAAATTGTGTTATGACTATAAATACCTTGATTGAGTTGTGATCAAAGGTAAAAAGAAAAAGTGTTTACTTTTGAGTTATTTTCTAAATATAATAAAGAGAGTTCTTCTTTATTTGGTATCAGAGCGTTTCGATCCTGAGACATATCGGATTGTCGTCAAACTCGAGTTATGGGAGACGACGTCAAAGGTATTCCAACACATCC